TCAAAATACATTTTAGAAACGCTCTAAATAAAAAAAATTCTAAAAAAGTGAAATTAATTACATAAAAACTTCTTAAGAAATGTTGTTATATAAGCGAAACGATTTTAAATAAAGTAACAATTTACTGAAAAAAAGTTTTGCTTTTTAAATATAATTGACAGTTGTACATATTTTTTTTTCATTCAAAACATATAAATTGTTTAAGTGTTTATTTCTAAAATAAATCTTTTTTAAAAAAAAAAAATTGTTTTGTTTTTATAAACGATGACATTCTACGACTACGAAAGTCTCTTTAACGAATTTAAATATGCATTTCAAAAGATAAACAAAATTTCGTTAAAAAAAAGTTTTAGAAAACGTTACAATTTTATAAGTTTGATCTTAAATGCTTTTATATTATCAAAACGCTTTTAATGAATTAAAAAAAAAAAACACTTCTAATTAATTTAAAAAAAAAGTTTTTATAAATTTTTTTTTTAATAAAAATAACTATGTATTTTTTATGAGAAATATTTAACTTTTGAACATATTAAACAAATAAAAAATATATAAAAATGTTGAAACTAGAATTAAAAAGGTTTTTTAATGCGTAAATTCAATAGACTAAGCATTTTAGTTTGATGAGTTTTGTTTTAGTTGCGTTATACATATATATATATATATATATATATATATATATATATATATATATATATATATATATATATATATATATATATATATATATATATATATATATATATAAAAATATATAAAAATATATATATATATATATATATATATATATATATATATATATATATATATATATATATATAAATTTGTGTTTTTGCTTTAACTAAGTATTTTTGTTTTATTTTCTCTTTCGTTATTAGTTATTATTTTTAAATTTTTTGTTCATATAAGGTTAAGTAAGTTTTTGAAGCGCGTTTTTAAATTTTAAAAATATGCCGTGGTCTAATCATTAAAACATTTTATTTTTTTTGCGTGGTCATATAAAGACACGAAATCACACGTCTTCCTGTGAAAGCCTGCATATAGTACACTTACCAATCTTAAAGTTGTTATTAAAATTTAAATATTAAATATATATTAAATAGTTAAAATAAAAAACCTTGAGCAGCTATAGATGACGCTTTGAAAAAAAAAAGTGTAATGAACAAAAAACTAACTCTTGTAATTACTTTGCCATATAAATAATTTCGAAATATCATAATATAGAAACCTTACCAGCTGCAACAGGTGACAAGGATATTAAAGAATAAATAATACAATGGCACAAAAGATTAAATGGTACATGTAAATAATACATGTTAAATATACCTACATAGATCATGTTAATTAAACAATAACATAATACATAATAAATAGTACAATACTGCATAATACACAAAATCAAACAATATTTCTCAATACATACACATAAAAATACACCTTAATCTTTAACCGATTAATGAAGTAAGTGTTGCTAAAGAATTAAAAAGGAATAAGTAGTAACAATAGTGATTTAACAATAGTTTACTAAAATAAGCTTAATTACAAGTTACACTTTTCGTTACATCTTTAGTAACCGTGTGTCAATAGAGTAAACACCTTTAGCGTATATCAATTAAATAATAATCGTAGCATGAATCATTGAACTATACTATTGAAATTGTTAAAATTTACTAAACTTACAAATCTGCTGTCTGAATTCACCTGAAAGCCAATTTAATTATACTAACTTTATTAAAAAATTAAATTATCAGACTAACATTACAAACAAAAAAAGTTCAAATAACTAAATAACAAAAATAGTTCAAACTTTACTTACTAATAGTTTGTTCTAAATTGTCTATAGAAAAAAAACAATGACTCAATGAAAAGCAAGAAATAATCAGGAGTTATACAAAATAAACAACTGAAAAAACTTTGTGGATGCACAAAAATCGGCACAAAACACATAGCATAATAAAGATATATAATTGAATATTGAGAGCAAAAGACTAAATACTAAAATAATGAATCGCAAAAAAAAAAACTGAGTTATCCTCTCAAAAGCATCATCTTAAAAACAAATGAAAAACGTTTTTTAGCAAAATAATACAAACATTTGTTAGAATAAATCTACTGATCTTAAGTTAAAAAAAACTAATTGAATTGAGCATTGAATTTTTAAATTAACTAACGGATTGTTGGCTGCTGTCGTAGGACTGCTTTGGGCAGCTAAAACAATATAATAAATGTTCTTGATTATTTACGTTACATTTATTATACATAAAAGTTGAATAAGGTTGCTAACATATATTAGTTATATATGACCATATTTTGTTTATATTATTTGGTACAGTACAGTTTGGTAAAAAAAAAAGTCAAGTTAAAAACTAGACTTTTTTCTCCAATAATAATTGCAATATACTACTACTTGTTGTATCATGATAATACAACAAGTAGTAGTATATTTCAAATGTTATTGGAGAGACTTACAATGTAAGATAAAATATGTTATAATGTTACTAATATGTCAGTTACATTTTAAAAAAATTCAATTTAAAAATAAGGAAACATTAAAATTCATTTAAATTTAATTATTTGCCTTCAATGTAAAGTTATTAAATTTTAATAACTTTACATTGAAGGCAAATAATTTTTTCTTAACTTTAATGAATAGAAAACAATATTGTAAACCTTTATCAATATCTTTACTTTCCATTTTATTTAATCTAAAAAAAAAACTGAAAATTTTATTTAATCAAAATCAAATATAAAAAATGTTTATTCAACCCCACCGTCTCCCGCGACCACTTCAGTAAAATGAAAATTAGGTACCAAAAGTGCGACAAAAAATAGACACCCTGCTACAACTTGTTTCAATAAAACTTTCCAGGTGCGTAGATAAATGAAAAACTTATAAAAAAGAATAGTATAGAAGAAAAAAAATGAGCATACCCGACGGGCATTTGTTTTTAAAAGTTACGTTCTGAATGTGTTTTAAATGTCTTTTAAACGTCTTTTAAACATTAATGTTTAAAAGACGTTTAAAAGACATTTAAAATACATTTAGATCGTAACTTTTAAAAAGAAATGCCCGTCGGGTATTTTCGACATTAAGTTCATGCCCAAAGTACAACAAAGTTTTAGACATCAAAAAACTCAATAAAAAAGCCATCCAGTAAAATAATAAAGCTCACAGTAATAAAGTTTAACTATTCTAGTTTCTAAAAATAATCAATATTGATATCAAATTCTAAAATGTTTTAAACACGTCTTCCCAACGCTAATTAAAGAAAAATCTTAAAAGCGTGGCACAGTTTTTTATCACAAAATTCGGTTCCGTAAAACGGATATTTCCACGTACCTATTTATTTGTATTTTACTTATATTGTTGTTTTTTTTGCCTTTCTTTTTCAATTTCTCTTTCAGAATGGTTAATTACTTTTCAATATCATTCCCATACTGGCCAACGGCAGTTTTTATCAATAGCCCTACTTGTGGCTGGATAGCTCAGTTGGTTAGAGCGTCGAACAAAAAGTTTAAACTCGTATCTTACAGTTGTAAGATACGAGTTCAAATTCTGCCACCGTCAACTCAGCGCTTGAGTAGTACTTCGGTACGCAAAAATGTTGGTCAATAACGGACGCTACTTTGTTCCTATGCTAAGCCAAGAATATCTTTCGATCTTAGAACATTCTATAGAAAAATATATCATAAAAATTCAAATTTAATAAAATATATTACATGGTAAAAACTTTGCGAACTATAAATCAATCCTCCTTAAATTGATCTTCTAGGTTCCCGTTTCAAATGAAGCATGATTGCTTTTCATACTTCTGACATGATCACCTCTTTGTAATTGAAAAGAACAACATTTAAGTATCAAATATTTTTAAAATATTATAACGCACCGAAAAATAGTTGTTTTATCGAGCTATGTTGAATAACCCATACAACTTAATTCTTTAAACAAAAACTCAGATGTTCAGATCTGCTAAATAATAACACAGATCTGCTTTATATTGTAACGTAAGTACATCTGATAAATTACAGGTAGTATCAATGTTATTTATTTTTGGTACTATTCTGTTTGTAATGGAATCTTTAAATCTAATTTCTATTTGCTTTTTCTTCAAAATGCCTAATTAGGAATTTAATCAGGCCTTAGAAATACCTGAATCAAAATAATAATAAAACTCAAAATAGTGTAAAAAATTATTGCTCTGTAAATGTTAGTTTTTAATTGATTTGAACTTTTCACTTGATCAATGCATATTACATAATGCTTATGAAGCATTAGGTAAAAATCTCAATAAAAAAACAGATTTATTTTTTGAGACAGACAGAAAGACTAATAAGTAATTCTATGTTCAAGTGAAGTAATTATTTCTAAATCAACTAGACTGCAAAGACTCGTCGATTTAGAGTCACAAGAAAGATTTTAAACAACTATTCTTAAAGTTTTAAATTTAGTTATTTATAATTTGCGCGCAGGCAGGGCCGGATTAAACAATTGTGTGGCCTTGGGGCACTGAAATTTTTTTGAGCTCTCGAGAAATATTTTCAAGCAAGCATAGCGAACGTTTACCGGTACTAAAATTGCATTGTAATGTAATTTGAAAATCTAAAGTAACTCCGCATAAGGTTTGACCATCATATAAATTAGTGGTAATACTGAAGCAATGTATGAACAAATATAAACAATCAATAGACATGAAACATAAAATGATAAAATCATGTATTTTGTTCAATTTTGTAAAAGTTTGTAAGATTATAAAGAAATGTAAGCGTTTCTACTTTTTTCCAAAACAAAATTTTTCACATCTGAGAAATTATTCTCCCGTAGTAAATCGGATTCTATGCTCATTAGTGTCAAATAAGAAAGTCGATTTTGACTCATATTGGTCCTTAGTTTGTTTTTGATAAGTTTCAATTTGAAAAACGATCGTTCTCCCAAACAATTAGAGACCATTAGAACCAAGTACATCCTTAAGAGGATTCCTCCATTTCGAAAACTTGAGATAAAATTATTTGTATTTAAAATTTTGTAAAAAAAAGTTCTTTGGGCACATTTGCATTAGCATCACAGTCATCCATATAAAGCTTAAGAAATGTATGGTCTCTTCCTTTATTTGCTGCATCTTAACGTATGCAGCAAGAAAAGTGTCATATTCACTCAGCAGTTCTAAAATTCCTAGATAACTCCCATTGTGTGGTGATCCAAAAATTTCATTAACACTTCGAATAGCTAGCCATCGTTCTGCAATGAACTTTATAGTACTTATTACACGTTGTAGTATTTGATTCCAGTACACACATATTTCAGATTCCTGCTTTGCTAGCTCATGGTAAATTCCTCCAGACTTTTTGCCACGCTGTGTCAAAGTTATTATTGCTTCCAGATGGCCTTTAGATGATTCATGTTCACTGACATGCACTAAGGCATGTTTCCTATAGCAAAAACCAGAACTTGAAAAATTAGTAGTGATACTTTTGGACCCAGTCAATTTGCAAATAAAGCAGTATACTTTTCCTGTGTGTGAGGAAGCAATTACGTTGATATGTTTAACTATTTGTTTTTTTTTTGTAGGATCAAATTTGGAGTACATTTCCGATAAAAGGTTGAGCCATCATGTTTTTCCTGTTTCTGTGATATTGAATATTTCCTTAGGGTATCTTGATCACAATTTTGCAACAAACGAGGTATGTCCCTTCTCTGCCCAAAATGTTATCATATCCGTTGAAGCTAATTTTTGCTACAAACCAATATCATTCAGTATCAATTCAAAATTCAAATCAAAGCATAGAGGCATGTTCATGTTGCTCATTTGCTTCTGCTATGGCTTGATTGTCGCCAATGTCTTGCGATAGAAACTCCTCAACTGATGATAGTATAGCTGAGGTTCCAGGTTCCAAAACCGAAGTCTTTTTTTGAGACTTTGTATCATTGTTTAAAATGATGATGCTAAAGCTGTTCCTAATGTATATTTGAAAATAAATGCTATCCAACAGAAATTTGACCCTAATGTTGAACTTTTTATATGGGTAATAACTTACAAAAGCAATTAAATGCGTACTAATTTACTTGTTTCTCTGAGCCACAGTACACATATCACTTTATTCAAAGTTTAGATCTTTTTTGACCTTATTTAACTTAAAAAGTAAACAAAATATTTTGATAAAATAAGTTTCACATTTAATATAAACAAAATCATTTACGTTGAAAAAAAGATTTTTCAAAAATTTAAACCAATTTTTCTAAAATGACACAAATTTCAACTATTATATATTTTTATATATTGATTAACATTTGAAACAAACAAAACCATTTACATTGAAACAAATAGACTTTGCGAAAGTTTGTTGTTTTTTTATTTGCTACCACTTTTATTTTTTTCCCTACAAACTGCGCGATATGAATTTGGCTAATATACCTAATATATAAATTAAATTTTATTAATACAATACAAAATACAAAGTTTACATGAACTTTATATTAAATATAATAACTTATACCTCTATTTTCATCGTTACCCTTATTTAAGGCATGTCATTGATTTTTTTTTTGTGGGGGCTAATTTGTGGGGGCCCCGGGCTAGCGCCCGATAGGATCATCTCTAATCACTTTCAAAATTTCAGTTTTGAAACTTTGACTTATTTCCTCCTGTGATTTATCAGTAAGGATTTAAACCGTACTACACATTTTGAATTATAAGAATCTTTTTCACATACATTCATATGACAAGAGTTATAAGATTTTTAATATAAACCGTGACGCAACGAACACATAACTAGAAATTCACCACTCTTTTGAAGTGAAGAACATTTAAATTCAATTCGTTTTAAATTAAATTAACGAAAACCATCTTTTATAAACATGAAAATAGTCTTTTACGCTCTATTTTTTTTTTTATCATAAGCAGTTTTTACTAGTTTTGTGATGTCTTGAAATTCTTCGAAATGACTCACCACAGACAAAACGATATCTTTTTTTAATGAGTCCCCAAAAAAGTACATAAAATATGATATCCGATCGTATTCGTTTGTTTAAACCATAATCAATTAATTAGCATTATTATACTAACATTTTTTACTATATGAGCATTTATATATATGTTTTTATGCTTACTAATTAGTTTTTTTCATTTATGTTAGTAAAATATTAATTTTTGTTTATCAGTGTTGAAGGCAAAAACAATTGTAGGTTTTTTTATTGAGTTCTACAGAAAAATTAGTAAAAAAGTGTTATCAAGTAAGAAAAATTTTTTCAAAATTTGATTAAAATAATTATTTTATCTCAATATCTCAAATTAACCTATCTCAAAAAATCGTATAACTATAAAAATTTCTTTTTATATTTAAACCTTAGCTTCTCATTTAATTACCGGTGCTCTCTATATGACCGGTGTTTGTTAAAGTTTTGTTAAAGTTCTAAATTAACACGATAATTTATAAGTTGATATTGATTAGAGAACAAAAAAACTTAAGTTAAACTTTGCCTCTAAACGAACAATTAATTCTATTTTCTACCTGTGCTGCTTCCAATACACTATTAATGATACCATTTTAACTAGACTTACGTAATGTACTATATTAACTGTAATGCTTACAGGGGTTAAAATAATGCTTGTTTAACTAATAATAAAATCCTGCTTAAGCAACCAAACTTTTCATCCTTTTAAATATCGAAACAATCAAACTAAAAACAGATATTAAAATAAATGGCACTTATAGAAGTATGTGTTAAGTGCTATATAATCACTTACTTCAATATAATATTATACAAATTTTATTAAAATTAAATTTGTTTAAGGAATACGATGAAATTTTACTCCAGAATTAAAACTTAGCAATGTTCTTGAAATTTTAAATCATTCTTATTTAAATTTAAAATTTAGGTTTTGAATGAAAATTTAATTAAATCTTAAATCTGACAAAAGCAGTTGACAATCTTGCAGCAGATCTAGCAAAAGCAAGGTCTATACTTAAAAGTTCAAGATTTAAGTAAACACCACTCTACAATAAATAGAATGCAAATGCACAAATTTGTGAAAAGAACACTATGGTTTTACCTTGAGTAGTAGTGGGTTAGTAATATCACTTTCATAACAATGATTGTATGTTAATTATTATTTTTTAGCTTTAGACGCACGAGGAAATTAATCAATGTGCCATTTGTGAAAATGAGCTGTCCATGTATGGCATATATTACAGCATATATGCGACCAAAAGATCTCTTCCTTGTTTCTCTTCCTTGTTATTCCAACCCTGCTGAATTCCACTTATACTTTTGCAATAGAATATTCTACCTCTACGCAAAAATATGAGTGGAATTACATTATTAATTACATTATTACAAAATTATGGTCGAAATAATCTTGCAAGATGTTATAAATGTTGCTAAATAATCTTGCAAGATGTTACAAATGTTACAAAGAATTCATACTATCATTTGAATCTTACAAAAAAATTATGATATAATTTATATATCTTATTAAGATCTTACTTTCCTTACAAATCTAACTAAGAAATCGTGCTTAAATTTACAAATTTTTACAAGGTCTTATTAGTTTTCTTGCACGTCTTGCAAGCCTTACTAATCTTACTAAGATTCCTAATAAAGAATCTTATTCAGTCTTGTAAGATTCGTCGCTCTGGATAACTGGTCAGTTTCTTGTCAATGCTCTAATATTATTATGGGTGAAACTTTAAGGTGGGTTAACTGCCCTCGATATATAACTAGCGTGCTCAACAACCCATAGAGCTTATAACGGTTCCTTACTGGTCCTGCGTAGGCCACTGTGCGATGGACTAGCTGTGGTCCAATCGTTGTCCCGATGCTTCTTTATGCTCTAAGGTTTATTCATGGACCTGTCGTGGCCAACCAGTGATGAAAACAGTGACTAACCACTGTAGGACAAGTACTGGTAGAACAACGATTAGTCATGCCACACCGTACCATCTTAATTTTGTTTATGGTAACTAACTGGTGCATGGTATTGCTATGGGCAATCCCATTTTAAGTCCGTATGTTTTCTTTTTAGAACTCGTTTTCTTATTTATTTGAAGTTGTTTTTACCAAAATCGGCTATAATATTTTGGTTAAAAGTTGTCGTATTTCTTCATAGTTTTAGGACAATAAAATGTATTAGACACATGATTTTAATTTTTTTTTTAATATTTATAAATAAAATTGATAAATACAGCAACTTTCAATTTCAAAATATTAATTAGTTAAAAAAAAAATAATACAATGACCTGTATTATTACGACTATTTGACAATAGTGCTTTTCTGTGATTTATATTTATTCGCCAACATGATTCAATTTGGAACGTTATTTTCTTTTTAGTACTTGCATCCATTTGATTTTATTAAAATAAAATAAACATGCACAATCTAATAATTTTATTACTTATGTATTTATAAGACGTAGTAACAATATGTATTTAAATTCAGGTCCGGCACTAGATACATTCGCATAGATTTCATAACCGTTTTCGTACAAATATTTTTGAGAATTTTTAGTAAAATGAGAAGAAAGAGACATTAATTCTAAACTTATTTTCTCGCCAGAATTATCATTTTTTCCGTTTTTAGCTGTTTTTCCAACGTTAAGCAAAAAGACTATTATCTTCCTTGACTGTTAAGACCTTTTTAATATCAAATAAAAAGCTAAAAGGTGCAATTTCAGCATTAACATCATTAATTCTATCTGCTAATGCAATAGTAGCACATTCAAATAATTTATTAAAAACATCTTGTTTAAAGTTTTCTTCTGAACATAACTGTTTGTTAAAGTTTTGTTCAGATTCATCAAAAAATCTCTTTTTATTTTTTTACTCTTGAAGCAGATTCTGCTGCCAAACTTTTTTCTACCTTAAAAAAAGAAGCAAGTTTTTGTGCAATACCACATAAGAGTAAAATTTTCATGTTTGTAATTTTCCTTTAAAAAATTCATCGTTCTTTCCATTGTTTTTAAAGCCTCTGATATATTTGTTGAAGCCGATTGAAGTTGTTTGCTAGTAAATATGCGAAAAAACTAATGCAAGATATGTTAGATCATTAGGAATACCATATGATACCAAACGATTGATAGCCGACATTCCGGCACAACATTTCTGCAGAACGATTTTGAAGTGAGAGTCCCATATAAGGTCATTTGAAATAGAAGTGTTTTTACAGCATTAATATGGCTTTCATCTTGTATCACTTAACGGTTTAGCTGTTAAAGACGGATACTTTGATTGCAAAATTAACTATCTTTTTTGTTAAAGCAGATAAAAGATAGTAAACTTGATAAATTATTCTAAAAAACAGAGCAATTTTATGTGAACATCTCACAGAATCAACATCACTCAGATTTAATGTGTGACTGTAGCGTGGAATATAAACCGTTCGGCTGTTTTTGTTATAAGAATAAAAGCCTGTACACTTTCTTACGGCTTTCATAATTGCATCATTGTCAAAGCTCCGACTTTTTATGTTTTCCACTGACCAACTGTTTTATACCAGAGAGTCAATAATCTCATTTGATAAATTTAGTCCTGTCGAACCTTTAATGAAATTAAAAAAAAACCATTGCATTCAATAAAAAAAACAATGAAAGA